CCTTCTTTGCAAGCCACATCGCCGCTCTGAGCACGGGCTTACCTGAGAAACGATCGATTCAGCAATACTTTCTATTATTATTTTACTATTATCAAGGTAAACTAGCCAAACTCCATTAACACACACTTTGAGACCATTGGAAATATTTTTGCTTAGGTTTTAAATACTTTGAATACTGAATACTTTTTAGTTTGATACTTGAATACTTTTTAGTTTGATTCTATGAAATAAAAATTTCCCAACCTACAGTAAGAATCGAGCATACAGCCTTAAGGTTTAAACCACAGCGTATTACCCGCAGAGTCACCCAGACTGCACGGGCCGATTAAGATAACATTTATTATTAATATTAATTTTAGAAAAATAATTTGCCTCGTTAGTCACAGTAAACATGAAAAGATTGAAAAAATTAATTTTTTTTCGAATCATAAGCAATGAACATAAGGACATTCTTGAACATGTAGAGTCCTAGAGCATTCAAAACTATTTCTTAGAAACTAGATGCGGTCGGACGGTTCGTACCAGCTCAGCCTCTGACAGCGGTTCTGTCGAAGTAAAGTTATCCTGCAGATACAGCAGGCTTTCCTTGCGTACGCAGCTGGGGTACGCCCTGCAGGCGTACACCGACACCAGCCCTTCCACCCATAGACTCCACAGCGCCGGCTCTACGGGTCGTCCCACAAGGTACTCCGCCGGCAATCTACACTCCCGCAAAATGTAATCATCCGGCCCGACAGTGCGCACCCCCCTGTCCCAACGCCCTAGCCGCACCCCCACGGGGCTTACAAATTGGGTCATGACACTCCCATCCATGTAGATTTCGATATATGCGTACTTATTCCACAGAACCCGGTCCAACAGGAACACCGCCGGGTACCACGTCCATGGGCGGTCGGCCGCCGTTCGTGCGAGGGCCTCATGTTCAAAGCTGCCCACGGGTGCGGGGGGACGCGAGGCCTTTTTGTACTCCTTTTCCCAGTCTTCGGCAGGGGCGAAGCGCTTCTGTTGCGAACTGAGGCAGTGCAGCGCCTTTTTATGTTCAACGAACTCCGAGCGTCTGCCAGGCACACCGAAATCCACGAGCAAACCGCCGGGGACGGTGTCGATGACGAGACCGTGCTCGAGAAGTCCCTTGGCATTCTTCACATCCACCGCGTTCCATTGGTAGATGTCGGTGGCAGGATAAATCTCACAGAAAGACGGCGAGTCGGAACAATTAAACGATCGTATTCCGGTGGTGCGCACGGCCTTTTCGAAAGCAGACATCTTACACAGAATTCACGCCGCGAAAAGTGTAACACTGAGATTGAGAATTAGAAACAGGTCATAAATTCGAAAGCAGCATCCGTACTTTGTGATTGTTTTATTCCTTCTGTGTAGTCGAAACAATAATATTGCTAAGACTATTACGGAATGGCTATTGTTTGGAATCGGAGGCCCTCGGGCTCGGCCTTTATTGCGTTGCCCCCATGCACCACGTGGCATCTGCCGTACTATAGCATGCGGGCAGAAATGACGAGAAGAAAATGATCTTTTGAATTAGTCTGTCTGGTGCTCTATTACTCTGATTTCCTGTTGTACTCTGGCTACTCCGCTATGAGCCAACAACCGAGGCCATAAGAGTGCGACAGGTAAATAGTGACACCGATTCACTGGACGAGGCAGCGGGGGGCACTCTCAATAATTAAGACTGCCAGACTGCTCCAAAAATAATTAATTTGGGATTACATTATGCGCTGTAGGCCCGCATTGCCATGAAACAATAGAAGGAGTAGACGTATTAATCTCCCATTATTTCGGTAGCGTGCACTCGGCAGTTATCGATGTCAATGGAACTAACATTTCACAAATTGTTCTTCATGCACTGTTTCGGTGTGGAATGCAGTTCACCATTTTCCGGGTCTTAACTAACACGTCACACGCCAAGATTACTGTAATTGCATTATACAATTATTACGTGTTATTATTATCGACCCAACAGTAGCCAAACTCCACTCAGGAGACTTTTAAGGCTACTGGAAAATATTTTTGTATTTTGGAAATTTTATGCTTTTTTTTGGTTGGATTTTATGAGCACAAAGTTACTCATCTCGGAATCGAATCCTTTAAAAACGATTGAAAACTGTGTGTAGGTCACATTTCGCCGGAAACAGTCGGTCTAATCGTTTAAGTTTCGTATATACATGTAGATAAATTTGCAAAAACATTTTCTTTCATGGTTTCCGCAACGCTTTTGCCGTCCAATATATCATTTTTCAACAAAAATAATTGCTTTGCCCGTTGCTCTGATGTGCGCCCGGAGGCAACTCCGCCACATTTACCTTTATTTGATACACAAAGAAATCTGGCCTCAAATAAATCGACTTCCAGAGCGGTCAGGGGAATGCAGTGTCCCTTAAGCTCGAGCAAATAAAGTACCGTTTCGATATCCCACCAAAAGTCGCAGCAAAACGGTATTTAAAAACGCGCGCAAAGATTACTATTTACTAAATAGCTTCAGTAGGTCCCAGCTGAGACCCTGTTAGTTTTGCGGGTATGAGTTATATCTCGCAGTTACTTCGTACAGTAGGAAAATTCCGAAAACTTCGAATCCAGCTGCATTGTGATGCACAGCTATCACGCGCCAAAATGACATTTCCCTGAACTGTGAAAATTAATTTTATCAGTATGTTACCAGCAGAAAGTACAACCGCTTCTCAGCGCAGCACTAGTGCATTTTCAGGTCATACGATATGGTGACGGGTCGCGGAATTTTCAATTTCCAACGCGGTGTGCTTTGGGGAGGGGTACTCAGAGCCAAAGGTCATTTTGAGACGCCATGGTAGTGGTTCTAGTGACCATCATTGTATACGGATGTCTACAGCATTACAGTAGCATATCTATACTTTTGTGTGACTATGGTCGAAATGCAACGATTGAACGATCCCAAGAATGTCTCCGACAGTAGAACGATCGTTAAGACGCTGATAGGTAATAACTACGGTGAGCGTGACTCACGCTCAAGCGAGACATTGCCTGCGGCTGGTTCTGCGACTAATGTGTGCAATGTGCATCGGCTTTGCCGTTGTTATCTCGGTCGGCTGGTCTGTTGCTCTGGCTTTTCCCACGGTAAAAAGCTAATTATTCTAACCGTACGAGTATGCGAAGCAGTTGCAAAAATGATCCGCCTCGGTTGGGTCTGTGCCCGCTTTGGGCACAAACCCAGCCGCGGGCTCGCATGATGCACAAGGAGACACTAGATACCCACCATACCTGGTTGCTGGTAATACATAATACTCAGTGGCCGCTAGATGATATGGCACCACAGAGTCTGGTGTACGGAAAACTACACACACGCTGCTCGATGTTCTACGCAACGTGTGCGATGTCCGGCGGGGGGAGGCAGCACCCGGATCTAGGAGTGGTGCCATTTCATCTAGCGGCAACAGTACGTACTGACTCTATATTTCATGTGTAGAAAGAATTTTATGGAAACTACAACTGTATACGTACAGAATTAAGATTTTCCTAACAAGATCATCACTTTTGGTAAACCGCTTGATCATCACGCGAGTTAAGCGGGCACAAACCCAGCCGCGGGCCGCTGCACATAATACCAATGCAGGTACTCATTACCTGAAGAACGCACCATCGTTGCTGCGACGGCACACAAGCAAAAGCCGGAACATTCCGGTGACACCAGTTAACAGCAGCATTTGCCAGAGACAAGCTTCGTTAGTTCTTGCAAACGTCCGACGAAACACATCCGCTGGCACATCCCCAGAATAGCGTCGCTCCGACACCGGCGCCGGTTCCGCCAGTATATAACCGCCGAGACGCTCACCAGCATTCAGCGCAGTCAACTTCTCTCTTGAAAATTTGTTTTCTTCGCAAAATACGCGTCTTTTTTTTCCGTTATCCGAAACCATGAACTGCATCCTGATGACCCTTCTCCTGGTGGCCAGCGTCAGCGCCAACGTTCTGCGTGAACGCCGACAAGTTACCGGTGGCTCGGCCGGCTGCACGGCGGAACAGCACGCCACATGCGGTAAGTGTCACCTGACGTAGCATCGGCGTTTTGCAAAACATTCTTCTGACCTTTCCATTTCTCTCAACATGTAACACGAACCTTATTAATTTTTCAAAATCGCCGTTTAAAAATAATTATTTTGAACCACTTCTTAATTTGCAGGAATGGCACAGTGTCAGAACAACGGTAACTGGAACACCCAGGTGGTCAGTGGCGGAAACAGTGGTGGTGGCGGTCTCCTCAGTCTGGTGCCGATCAACGCTCTCAACGGAGCTGGAGTGCAAGCGCCCATCAACGCCAACATCTGCCCACCCGTCTCCGTCTGCAATGCCTGTTTGGCTGCCAATGTTCTTGGTTAAACGAGTGGCATGCGTTCTTACATAGGTCTCCTCAATGTATACACGTGGTGTAGTGTACGTGTGATACTGCGGTTCCTCATTATCCGGTTTTCTAAGAACTTTCTAATAGTTATATTGTTATTAGTTGTGTGAGTGATGGAACTTACTTGTTAGGTTTTCTTTCTGGCCAGCGTTTTTGTGGAGACTGTTCAAAATAAATCGTTGCAAAATTATCGCGCTCGAGTGGTGCCCCAGAATTAGGATGAAACCTGTTGCTTGCATATACAGCAGTTTATTGAAACGATCGAACGTCTATCGGCAACCATGTGCAACAGACCACAGATTGAACCATTATTGAACCGTTATTGAACCATGTGCAACAGACCACAGATTAAGCACTCTGCACATAGCATTTTGCCGCTCCATTCTAAGAATTAGGAAAATATGTATTATCATAAATGCAGTTAAGTACCTGTAAATAAGGGTTTCTGTTCTCGGAAGATTTATGAACATGGCTAACAATAAGAACGGTTATACTTAAAAGAAAGCTTAGAATATATTTAAACCGTTTGTTTTATTCAATTTTTTAATTCGACGGATATACAAGATAAGATTTGCACAGCAATCAAATACAGGAGAAAAGCGTCGTCGTGCATAAAATCAGTACTTTAGGAATATAATGTTCGAAAAATTGTGTTTGTTAGCTAATAAAATTTCTCGATTAACCAAAATTCTATTGCTCGTTGTTTGCTGCAGTAGTGATTATGCCGATATTACAATGCCCAAAGAAGGCTTGACCGCACCCGACGACAGATTACTTAAGGCGGTTAAACTAATTGAAGAAACCGAACAACTCATCGGCTTACGGCGTGAAATGGGCAAAAACTCGGAGAACCAACCCGCATTGTACGCAAACTACGCTTTCCATACTACGAGTTGTAATGTATGGTAGTTTTGCAGTACTTACTTGCTGCCGTTTATCTGTCCGCGCACTGCGCGTACAGATAAACGGCAGCGTACATGGCTTAAAGGCTTTTGACACTAATTATCTGCGTTTTGTTTTCAGTTCGATTGATAGCGTGCCCAACCCGCAGACAATCACTATTCCATAATGTATGAATAAACCCGTAAAGCTGGGTTTGGTCGTCCCTTGAGTTGAAGTAATTGGGATGCCGCTATATAGCGTACTGCATTTTACGTCTGCCGATGATAACAGTTTGGACACAGTAACTAACCCATTTTCAATGCTGGAAAAAATGTTCAGTCTTGGTTAACTGTGGCTAACCGATTGCAACTTTCAACTACTGTACTTCTGGTTAACCGCCAGAAATTTTGTCGTAAAATTTCAGCAGACTCATAGCTTCAACCGATGCAGTTTAAGCAATTAAACCGTTTAGCCAAAATTTAAGTTAATTTAAATAATACGCTATTAACAAGAACTCTTTGGACAAGCATTATCTAGTAGTTGGCAGTCGTTCGGTCGACCTAACGATAGGTCGCCGATGAAACGGTCGCAGATTAAACTGCGCTTGCGACAGCATGGTTAAGTGCAGTACCCACAGCGTCAGCGTTGACAACGTTTTTATATCTAACTGACGCAGATCTTGCCCGCTCCAGCCAGGCTTCCCACGGTAGCGGTTTGTCGGACGGGGATCATTGCTCTGATAGGTCTCTAGTATCTACAAACAACAGTATAAAGACTACGCGCCTAGGTTTATTTCGAACTAAGGGAAAATCCTACCCGTTTAATGGTGGCACAGTTGTCCGACGCTACATTCAGCCGCGCTTCCTTCGCAATCCACCGTCCCAAACCGTCGATATTCAGCGGAATCCGATGTTCCGGCCACAACAAATGGCGCTCCAGCAACGCATACAAATCCGTCCGCAGATTCCACCCCATATCAGGGTAGGTGGTGACGTCACTGACCACAACACACTCGTTCTGTTCATCGCCAATACCACACAAGCGGCAGTTGCGCCAGACGATGCGCTCGACGGCGGCCTCAGCTTCCGCCCACGTTTTCGCCAAAAGCCTTACTTCCGCCGGGAGGCGGTCATCACCTAGTTCCCAGCGGCAGCGGTGGAACACCACCTATTAAAAAAAGTTCCGGGCTATCTACAGAAATTTTCAGGAAGAACGGTTGTTAGCTTGCCCTTACTGCCTAAAAATAACAGTACAGTAGTAACTCGCCAAAAATTGAGCAATATATATACTGTACTAATAATACAATAGTCGCAGTGTCGAATTTTATTTCTCCATAGTTCTGTTTGATTATAATAAATATAAAATAACTGAATTTCAGTCAAATCTGAGGTAAAATTTCCCTTTTTCGGGATAGGGCGACATTCTAGCATCGGAATTTTAACCTGGCCGAGGAAACTGTAGCCCAAAACTCTTTTGAACCATAGCAAAGCAACCGAATGCCCAGCACACACACACAATCCTACGGAGATTTTACCACACAGCGCACCCAGCGCATTTTCAGTACATGCCTGCAACTTTCTCTGGCGGTTACCGTGTTGCTGGACCACAGCGCTGATCAAGCGCAAGCAGTCGCCGAGTTCCTGTAGCATCATGCTTTGCCTGGCGTTGGTAATGACGACCACCTCCGTGGCGGCGGTTAAATACTTGATAATGCCCATGGCTCCGGAGCAGCCTGCTGTGCCGGCGTCATCAAAGGTCAGTGTCAGGCGCTGGCGGTCATCATCCTGCTTCATGATCGCGTCCCAGAGCGGGCTGACGCGGCGGTAGAACGGTCGCTCGTTCATGCCGAAACAGGAAAGAATCTCTCGCATGAGTTCCGGTGGGAATGCGGCGGTCAGAATTGGAGGTTCACTCTACGAAAGCTTACTTTACTGCTTGCCTGCATTTGTTCATTGGTTGGGCACTATCGGGCCATGTACGTTGTATGAGACCATCAACGATTACGTATCAAAGGATTAGAGTGCGTACACGTTTTAACCGTTCTAGCAGTAGTGGGGTCTTTCTGGGACTTACGGAATTGCAAAAATCCTGAAAAATTAGTCTGAAAATGTTTTATTTGGTCAAACCATAATGTTTGACTGTATAATTTTTAGTTCTATCCTTACTATCTAAAGTCAAGCAAAATTTGACCAACGGTCATGGCTGTGGCATATGGGGGAGATTTGCACCCCAGTTGTGATTGCATCAGCCGTAATTGTCACTACTTATCACCCCGTTCATAAAAAAATAAATAAATATATTCTTTTTATGCAGCCTTGTTCTTACTATGAAATAAAATTATGGGAAGCAAGATAGGACCGAAATACCATAAAACTGCACCAGAACATTCAAGATCCTCTTCAAGCGCACAAAGCTGACCATGCAACCACTTTGCGAGCGAGCGCGCATCTGCCAACGTTGCTCTTCACTCGAGGCGGTTGTGAGCTACATGCCCAAAATGCCCCCGTACCCCGTAGTTGTGGAAGCTGCCACCGTTGTTCTGTGATAGAACGGTTACTACAGATTGTATAAAGCCTGTGTATGAAACGTGAACGCGCTCATACAGCGTGCCTGCACCTGCGGTCAACATGAATAAATAGTCAAATGCAGGCTACCAGTACTTACACTAATTCCGAGCTGGTTTTCGGGAGGTATCCACTGATCGTCGTTGAAGGTCCAGCCAGCCTGTAGCCGCCGCATCTTCTCCGCTTTGGCCAGTTCACATACCCGATTCTATAACTTACAAACGCAACGTCTCTTATGCGGCAAAACTGTGGGTCGCAAGTCCGAAATCAATAACTTAAAATACGTGTACGGTGATAGGAAAACACGATTTTTAAAATATTCAAGTGTAGCAGCTTCTAAATTTGGGTTACTGCAATTGGATGATAAAACAAAAAGTATAATAGTTACTGTAGATTAACCGTACTAGATCGCCTTCTGATAATGGCGTCGGTTTCGCGGGCCCACCGCTGTTCTGCAGATACAGTAGGCTGCCATTTTGTACACACGTCGGATACGCTGCGCAGCCAGGCAGCGATATCAGCATTTCCATCCACAGATTCCACAGCGCCGGGTCCACCGGCAGTCTTGCTGTATATTCTGGCGGGAGGGTACACACTCGTACGACGTAGTCCTCCACCCGGACTCTGTGTGTCGCGCCCCAGTCGCGGGGCATCCGTCGCACCATCAGGGCGCTGGCGTACATATTCACGAAACTCTGACCGAACTGGACTCGGATGTAAGCATATTTACTCCATAGGACGCGCCGCACCAGAAACACGGCACGATACCACGTCCACGGGCGGTCGGCGGCGGTCCGCGCAAGTACCTGAAAGTTAGCCGGAGACGAAGGAGTGTTTTGCCAATTTTTAAACTCTTCGTCCCAGTCGCTGAAGGGTGCGGAACGCTGCTGTCGGGAACTCAGACAGTGCTGCGCTCTCTTCAGATCGACGACCTGGGCGCGACGGCCGGGAACGCCGAAATCCACGAGGAGACCGCGGCGGAGGGTATTGATGACCACACCGCGCTCGAGGAGTCCATCGGAGTTCTTCACATCCACCGCGTTCCATTGGTAGATGTCGGTGCCGGGAAAAATCTCACAGGGAAACGAAGAATCTGAGCAATCAAACGATCGGATAACGTTGTTGCACATCGTCGCATCACAGACCCAGATTCAGGTTTACTGCATCGAAAAGTCTACACGAAGAGTAGGATATAGATTATACGCATTTGCAGTCGGATAGAGATTGTATGGAAAGAAGGACTGCAGTACTTTGCCAAGCGTTCTATTTCTGGGTAGAAAGTTGCTGCTCACAGACGCCAGATTCTCTAGCACTGTTGTTTGTACCATCCCTATTCGGATTTCATACGACTACGTCGTATTTCACATCAGGACTTTCTGCAAGCAAAAATCGTGATACGAAGATAATGCAGTGCATAGGCAAATTTAACTCGCTTGGGCGCGAGGGGCACTGGGAATCCACTGGGAATCCATCCAGAAATTATATAAAAACAGTAAACATCAAGAGTTTCTTTGAAAAACAGTTCTTGGAGCATGGTCTGTTATTTAATGAATAAGCGTGCTTACTAACTCGATTGGATATTGTAGAACAAGATGCTTATTTCGCGCGGAGCGCAAAGCAAACAGTCGGTTTTACTGCATAAATCGCTAGAAATTCAATAATAACTAGTAATGTATACGGTTTTATGCAAAATTGGTGGCAATTTTTAGGCAGTACTGTTTTGAAGTACCCATTTTTTGAAAAATTCCTTGGGGGGGGGGGTGATACGTGCACCCCCCCCCTTTTAAATTAGTCCCTGAATTGCAGCGCAGTGCCTGCTGCTCAGTCAAGAGAAGTAAACTGTGGTGTTCCGTTGGAATACGCACAGTTAATACTGTACTGAAAATTCCGTCCGTCAAACCGTTCCGGGACCGTTACCGTACTAGGCTGTACCTGCAGCGGTCTTGCGGGTAATTTATAGGAAGTAATTCCGTAGAGAACAAACGTCTGCTACTCGGACTCGGAGACTCGGGAACGAGACCACCTTGCAGGACGCCTCCGGAAAGCAGCCTGTTGCGCTAAATGATATACTGTAATTATACTCGTACTATGCTTTAGCGTAAGGTTGTGGATATTCAGCACTATGGCATTGATTGCTGGATATGGATATAATGGAATATATCCATGAATATAATTATCCAATATCAATGTCCAATTGTCCATACAACTATATATCCGCAAATATTAGATCGAAGGGTTGGGATATGGATATTATAATAATTATCAGGATACGATATTGGATATGAAATATCCTTAGTATGGCTAGTTTACAGGAGAAAGCAAACACGTTCTCTGGAACGTGCTCTCTCTTGATGGCAAAATCTGACAGAAACAGCCACGCTGCGTACTACTGGCAATCTGCCTAGTAGTGCCTACTCCTACCGTAGTCACACTGCCTACAGACGCCTACATCACACACGCTGGCTCAATCGTTTCAGTCTGACTTGTGCGACTGAGCCAAGAGAGAAACATCGGGTAGACGCCGAAACAACACTGCAACAGATAAGCGGAGTTAAACGTACGTACAACCCCGCTAAAAATTTTTACCGGCTGGTATGCGGTTACTAACCGCTGGCGATGCAAACAGTGATACAGCGATGTTTGAATGCGGTTTCGTTAAGAACACCTAGTGTCTTTCTTGATTTTTTTCTTATAAAACTCCATACCATTTCCATTTTTCCCTCCTGTTTTCATTTCATATGATAAGTTTCCATACCCATAAGCTGAAAAATAGCGATTACAAGTAGCGAGGATTAGCACAATGTAATTAAGCAGCGAGCGAGGTGGAGAATAGTAATTAGGCAAAAAAAGCCCTACAATGTCCATCTCAGCTGTTCACCGGCGAGGTCCATTGTCGTGCCAAATAACAACGTCGCCGTGCGACCGCCAGGACCAATATAAAGTACCCACAATGTCAACGCAGAAAGTGCCGTCATGTTTCAGTTGCTCGTTCAACGATGGGCTGTGATTTTGTTGCACGTCTGGGCCAGCAGTTTCAAATCTGTGCTGATGCGGATGTCAGCTAAATCCCGGCGACAATGGTTGACCACCACCTGTCAAAAGAAAGGGTGTACGCCAGCCGCCGGGGTGCCTAACAAAGTTTCTGACCCATGTATGTTTAAAAATGCTATATAAATTCTGAAAAAAATGAGAAATTTTAATTCGGCGTAATAATGATCGTGACTTTTATGTGCGTTTGTCACGGTTTGTGCGTGACCTTAAAAAAATGTTCAGTCAATAAGGAAGCGTTTCTCGCACCTATATACCATTTTAAATTGATACCATGTACAGATACTGAGTTACAGCAAGTCATCCACGTACTGTATAATATATAATTGAAGTTCGGAATCCGCCTTTCTGTCTGCAAATTATTATTTCAGTTATGATTGCTGAACAGAAGGAATTTAAGAAAAGCACTCTTCTGTTACGAAAATAAAAAAGGAAAAACAAGCGCTCAAAATTTTTCAAATGATATTTTGACTGTTCAAAGGATCTTTGAAGACCCGACCGGTTGGGCCGCCGAAACTGTTTTATCACCGGAAAACAAAATATAAACGAAAAATAGTGCGAGCGTCAGTTTCACGAAGATTCTAACGAACACCGGAACCCGCGCAGATTACCTGCAACTTCCGCAGGCGGTTGCCGCACTGCTCATACACCGCGCTGATCAGGTGCAAACAGTCGCTGAGTTCCTGGAGCGTTGAGGATTTGTTGGCGTCGATTAAGACGACCATCTCCGTGGTGGCGGCTAAACATTGGACGATGCACGTGCCCACTGAGCAAGCTGATGCGCTGGGGTTGTCGAAGTTGAGCGTCAAATATGGCCCATTGTCTATTTGGTTGATGAGATCGTTCCACAGCGGACTCACTCGGCGGCAGAACGGTTGTTCGTTCAAAGCCAAGCAGGACAAGATTTCTTGCAAGAGTTCCGGTGGGAGCGCCGCGGCCGTTTGGAGTTTTTCCAGTGCCGCTTCTCCATGCAGATGGGAAGGAAAACTGGCCGCGAGTTCATTTTCTTCTGGCGTTGTCCAGTGACCTTCGGCGTTCTGTAGGCGTCCGGTCATCCGCGCTTCGGCGATTTTAATCAGCCGATTCTGTTAATTACAAGCACAACTAGTTACGCATTTAGAGAGAACATAGGAGAAACGGTCAACTAAGTTTCCGAAGGAGAAAATCAGTATTGCTGCTTGCGTTCAGGAGACCTTCTGTATCGGTAGGAGGCTGGATGAAGTGTATTATGTGTTGAAATAACATACTGCGTGATATAGCGTTCAACCAATGTGCATTCGTGTAACCCAAAAAAGTCTTAGACTTCCAAACTAGTTTCGTCCCAAGGCAATAGTTCTACAGTGTAGCGGCATTTCTGTGTCCTTTGGCTTTAGAAACATGACAAAATCATATGACTATGGCATAATCACGTCATTTTGCCACCCTGCTGCACTGCCAACTGTTCAAACGCGGGGATGGTTGAGCAGCAAGTGCTGCCGGAAGTCGAAGCAGATAACTGTGCTGGCAGAAAAAATATACTCAACTGTTATAACTTTTAACTGTAATAAGAAGAGATACCTATTCTGACAACGTAGCCGCAGAAAATTATTTATCATAACTGCCGCCAAATTCGTTTGCATACGGTGCTTCTCTGATGCATCACCTGACTCCTACATAGTTTCTGATGCGAAAAATATCGCATTAGAAAATTATAGCGAATGATGATTAGTCACAAACAAATTTTTGACGCTTACAGTTCAACTAACTCGAAGCAACAAGCTTGTCAAAGTGAATTATTCAGCGTAATAAGATCTACAAATTATGGGGTATGGCCGTACCAGTTCCTCCTTTGATACTGGCGTTATGTTCGTCAGAGTCCGCGTATACAGCGTGTATCTAGGCTGAAAATACACCAAGCAATCATTGTGCACGCAGATGGGATACGCACTGTGTCCAGACATCAGCCCGTCTGCCCACAGACTCCACAACGCCGGCTCCACAGGCCGTTCCACCCGATACTTCCACGGCAGCATGCACGTTCGCGTAATGTAATCACCCGCGACCACAGCGCGCAGCGCCCTTTCCTGGTGCGCCAACCGAATCAACACGGCCCTAACGTATTTGGTTACCACTTTCCCATCGATGGAAATCCCAATGTAGGCATACTTATTCCACAGAATCTGCCGCAACAGGAACACCGCCGGGTACCATGTCCACGGGCGGTCGGCGGCCGTCCGTGCGAGCACTTGAAAGGTCTCAGGGGAGGCGGGCTGCTTCAACGCCCCGAAGAATTCCTGGTCCCAGTTGTCGGCGGGGGCGTAATGGTTCTGCCGGGAACTGAGACAGTGGATGGCGTTTTTGTATTTGACCATCTCCGAGCGCCGACCGGGCACGCCGAAATCCACGATCACACCGCTGTGGAGAGTATTAGTGATCAGACCGCGCTCCAGAAATCCGTCGACATTCTCCACATCCACTGCGTTCCATTGGTAGATATCGGTGCCGGGATAAACCTCACAGCGAGGCGATGAGTCGGCATAATCAAACGATCGTGTTCCGTTGCTGCACATCTTTGTTTGAGAAGCGCAACCGAAGGTTGACGTCTGCCACAATGAATATATATTGAAAGAAACAGTGGCCCTCGTATATTGATTACGAAGCTACACCGTATATTGATTATAACAAAAGTTTATAGCCACAATTTTGCTGCGGTTGGTGCTTTTAGAAAAGCAATCCTTTCGATAAGCAATGCACTGGCGCAGTGGTTCCTGAATAAAGAAATACTTCTATGTCAACTTTTTCGTCCACAAGTCTATCTGTGACTGCTATCCACACCTCTATAAAGCTGGCGTGCCATGTGCTGCTGGTAGAAATTACTTAAGACAAAAGGCAGTGCAATGAATGCAGCAGTCTGCCTGCTTCTCTATCTCGCTTCCCCGCAGAGCTCTGCTACAGTTAACCAGAGGAGAGCAGAGAAGTGGGAATGATTGGCAGCATATGCTGCCGCCTTCAAATTTCACCGGCCGAACAGGAAGTGCACTCTCGTCTACAAAATGAATGCTTAAATCAAAATCAGCTTCCTCGTGAAGAGGACGGTGCCCATCCAGCTAAATAGTGACCAAGCCGAGTGATGAAATCGCAAGTAAATGTACAAGGACTGCCGTACTGGTCAAACACCGTCGAAAGTGCTGTTTTTCGCGTAACAAACATCTGCATACTGTCTTCCGCGCATTATACCGGGTTCTAGGTATTTTTATAATCGTTCTAATAACGTTCAATAGCACGATATTTTTAGTTCGAACAGCAAAAAACCTGTTTAGTACATACAGTGATGCGAGTACTTTAACCATTCCCAGTAGAATATGTAACGCAACACTATCCATATTTCCACCTGTACTTCTTGTAGCCATTTTTACAAACTAAAAAAAACGATGGTGACATTCCCGCCATTACTAATTTCTGTTGTCCTCCTGGATATGAACATTTTATCAGAAAATCAACCCTATCGAAGTCCATCGAAGGCTCCGACGCCAAGTAAAATCGCGGCTCGTAGCAGGATGATTGTGTCCGCTTGGCCATTTTGAGTACCCACAACGTCAGTGTGGACAGCGTTGTCATATTCAAACAGCGCACCTCTGCCGTCGTCCAGCTGTACGTTCGACAGTACTGGTTCGTCAGGCGGGGATCTTCGCACTGATTCGTCTGTAAAATCTGGATGATTTATTAACCAATCATTATTTGGCACTTTGAATGTTCTCGGCGCCCCCAATTTTCACCTAAATGATCGTCCTACCCTTTTAATGACGGCGCACACATCTGACTTTTCTTTAATCTGCACTTGCTCCGCAATCCACAGTCCCAACCCCGCCGCATCCAGCGGACTCCCCATCAACGACCGCTCCAGCAGCGCCTACATACTCGTCTGCACTTCCGTCAGCGTACCGTGGATGGCAGTTACGTCACTCATCAAAATTTTCTGACTATGTTCGCCGCCGACACCGCAGAGGCGACAGTTGCGGCAGACAATACGATCCACAGCGCCTTCCACGTCGATAAGCGCCTGAGCCAGCAGTTGCACCTCCATGTGGAGGCGGGTATCCCCCAGGTCCCAGCGACAGCGGCTGGCTGTTACCTGTGAAAATGCGTGAAAGTCACGTGACTGAATCAAAGAATCTTAATCGAGCGAATCTCAAGTATCATTTGTTTCATGTATTTTTTTCGAAAATCTTTTAAACTCGGATAAAAATGTGGCAGGGGGAATCGGCGTAAACACGTTCTTCAGATTTATGTGCGAATCCGTGACGGAAGCTCGATTTACGGCGCTTTCATGCAATTTAACGCGAGGACTGAGGAGACAGCGCTATCGATCCCATCAGTTTTTAACCGCTTTAAGTTAGTTTTTGCTCAAT